GGATGACGAAAGTGAAGCAGAAGGAGTTCTTGATCATTTCCCAGGGGTGATACCACATGAAGAAGAAAGGGGGGTTGAAGAAGCAATTGGTGTCCAGGCTAAGGACGGAGTTGAGGTGGAAGAGGCCTGCACCGGCCATGAGTTACATTTGATATCTCCATCAAACTTCGAGGAACTACTTAGCAAGGACCCATTTGCAGTGTCTCTTTGCCAGACCAAGGCCACATCGACATCGGTCCCTCTTGGTGGACGTGATGGTGGCCAATCGATGCTGTCATATCTGGTTTGGGGCAATGAGACGAGAGAAGAGAAGAAGAGGTCTCGAGGGTGGAGACTTCATCTGCATCAAGTGCATGAGCCTTCATCACCTGCCACACCACATGCTCGTGACTTGAGACTCCACATCATCGACGAGAACCTCAACTTCAAAGAGGTTCTGGGGTGGACCGAAATTTAGGAGCCATCGTCCGGCTCACGACGTGAAAGAAGCGCTTGTTGGGAGGCAACCCAACCAGTCGGTTTGCATTTCTTTCTCTATTTCTCCTCGGTTGAGTCAGTTTTGTTCTTTGATTTTAGAGTCAATAACTCAACCTTTGTGAGATTTTGTGGGGTGTTTGTGTTTCGACTACGCTCTCCTCCTAGAATGCACCGCCTGCCCCATCCACCATCATTCACCCTTGATCTGGTAACTTCGTTCTACCCTCCTTATCTTTCCTCCATTGAGGACAATGTCGTGCTTAAGTGTGGGGGGTGTTCGATTATGTATGCGGGTGAATGTTTGGCTGTTTGTGTGCTTGGAGCCTAGTTCACTGTCCAAATTTTTAAATTTGAGGGCTCCAAGTACGTGTCTCCATGCAAATTGTCTGCTCAGTATGCTTTGAATTGACAGTCTCTGTAGTAATGTGCAACCTAGGGAGGTAGTGTAGCACTATGGAGGATGTTGAAGTATAAGATTTTTCCTATCTACCTCTCTGCTGTGTCAGTTGATTTTGTGAATTAGTGGAGCTAAGACCGTTGAATTCATGTGGTAATGTGGACTCTGTTTGAATTGTGTTATGGACTCGTGTATTGAACAGGGCTCTCATGTGGGAAATGAAAAGCAGTTGGTCCTCCATGTCGAAATCATCAAAAATCTTAAACATGGGGTAAGCCCAACGTGTGTGGCACCGTTCATTGCACAAATTCGGGTTTTGGAGGAGATTTTAGTGATCCTTAGTGGGGTACTCCTACAAGGTGAAGCTAAGCTATCTCTAGTACAAGTAAAACTTCCACCCGTTGAACGGTTTGCCTACTTGAGGATGTGTTTTTAAGGGCACGGATAGAGCTTCTGACCCCCCTTAATTTCATTGACCCTCCACACGAGTTTAGGGAAAGGAGTTAAAAGAAGTACTTTGGCGAGCGCCAGATGTACAGAAATTGCTTTTGCTCGACTAATAAGGGTCGACCGTGCAAAAGACTGCAGTTGGAACCCCACCAAATGAAAGAAAAAAATGTAAATGAAAGTGAGAAAAAGGGGTTCCAACGGTGAAATGAAGTGAAAGAGCACCCCGGTACAACGAGTCCTTGGTTGTGAATGGTGTGAGTCCCTTTATCCATGAACTGACTGTCTTACTTCCACTTCTTCTCATGATCCTAGCTTGAGTCTAGTACTCGCATTGAGAGAGATAGGGGACCTCTTAGAAGACCAGTTGACCTCGTAAGCTGCTATATGATCTAGGAAATCCTCTACCGACGATCGGGGTTATTTGTTTCTATAGAGGTCTGGAGAGCTGCATTGGTTTGAGTCAGGTTTGCTTGGGGACAAGCAAACAGTTAAGTGTGGGGGGATTTGATGACTCGATATTTGCACATGTTTTCCCCTTTGTTTCTTGATCGTTTAAGCTTGCATTATCGCTTCTTTGGCCTATTTTACGCTAGGTTGTGTTCCTTTGTCACATTTCAGGCCCTAGCACATAAAGTGAAGCATAGGCGCAAGTTTCAAGTCAATCAGAGATCAATTGGCGATTAGGGAGAAGAAACTCGGTCATGACCTGAAGAAGAATGGATTTCTACCTCACTTTATGGAAAAATAATCAGGCAAGCTTGTTATGAAAAAGAAAGAGGATGAGACTATGAGCGTCTATGTTCAAACGGCGACTGATTTGGAGTCCGAACGAGAGAGAAACGAAGCTTTGAACAGGAGAGGAGGAAGAATTACGGGCAGGAGAATTACGACCGTAATTTGGCCTCCCATGCCCGTATTTTCACTGCCGAGAGGAGCTTTGGGTGCGCTGAAACTTAACCAAAACGCGTGTTTTGGGCAAAATACGGGCATGGAAGAATTACGACCGTAATTCAGCCCGTAATTCGCCCAGAATCGGGTTTTTGAGGCAGATTCGAGCCAAAGAAAAGAGAGAGCTGGATTTTTGGTTCCCAAACACCCAAGGGACGAACCCTAGAGAGAGAGAGCAACTTGGGAACATTCTTGGAGCTATTTTGGAGGAATTCTTCGCCATTGGAGCTCGGGAATCAAGCTTGGAGATGGAGATTGAAGATCTAGATCAGATTTCTGCAGTCTCTCTCTTCTCTATGGAGTAACTTCCCTTCACTTAGGTTTTGAGGAACCCTAGTTCCATGTAATAGGATCTTTCTTGTATGAAGTTTTGGATGCTATATTGTTTGATTATAATCGATTGAGGCATGATTTATTGAGTCAATTGAATCTTGATCAAATTCTCTTGATTTCTGCTTTAACCTATGATAGATAGAATCTGATTAGGTTAAGAGAGCTTCCTTGATTGATAGTGGTGAATTGGTTGTGCGAGAGTCAATCAATTCACTGCTTTGTACTGGAATTCATTCCAGTAGTGGAGTTCTGTGTTCATAGCCTCAGCTTTCTATCTTGGTGAATACTAGTCGTCTGCCGGGTAGTTTGACTGAGAGGGCTTGGTCAGCTTAAGAGATTCCAAGCTAATTTAGGATCTTCCGCAGTTTAATCATCAGTAGATCAACCAAAGGTAATTGCAACTTGGACCTAATTGAGGAGCTAGGGGGAATCATACCTAAGTGAGTTCTCAAACTGTAATTAGTAGTTTTACTTAGTTTAGTTAGTAGAGTAGTTTAGTTAATCAATCCTTAATCTAGTTTGCTAGATAATGAACTGAAGCTGAGTAATAGTAACTCTAGAGACCCGTGGATTCGATATTTATTACTTGTGCCACTATACTGCAGTCCCTTTCATTGGTTACACTTGGCCATTGTTAGGTGTTGTGTTTTAGGGTGTCACCCCTACATTGTCCCCGTCAATGTTAGTTCTAGGCTCCGGGTCAAATTCTCGATAATAAACACATCAAACCCTATCTGAAGCTAAATTCATCGATTTCGACTCCGACTAAATAATTGTTGAAATTCATGGATTAGAACCAGAGGATTAATTACCTCGCTGCACGAAACTTGTACATGAAATTTGGATTTAATCCGGCTTCCGGATCCTCCAAAACCCTAATTCTTACGATCGGCAACTTGAGGAATTATCAAAGCAAAATTTTACTACAAGCTCGGAAGTGGATGCACTACGTTATGCTGAAGGAATACGTACCAACTAGGAGATTTTTGGATGGCCCAAACCCTAGAATCAGCTCTTCTATTTTCTGGATGTGGAAATGGAAACGAGACGGAATAAATGGGACGGAAGTGGACATGAAATGGGGCGGATCAGATATAGTACTCCCACCTACTTTTGGGAGGACGTTCTCCCAGCGGAGAATATGATATTTGTGTAATGATAATATAGTATACGATTTACAAGAATACTTCTCGTTTAACAAGAAAAATTTATTCTTATAATAGATAGTAGTATGAAATCAAGCCTTCTAGAATATTATATTCTCATAACATAAATATAATCATGCTTTCAAGAATATCATATTCTCATAACATAAATATCATATTTTTGAAAGCTTGATTTCATACTACTATCTATTATAAGAATGCATTTTTTTGTTGTACGAATATGTATTCCTATAGATCGTATACTATATTATCATTACACAAATATCATATTCTCCGCTATGATAACGTCCTCCCAACAGTAGGTGTGTGAGGACCTTTTCTTTTTTGGAATGGGGGAAGAGCGACACGTACATGTATAGGAAAGTGATCATTCCACCTCATCCTTACCGTCCTTTCTTTTCATTTAGAATTTAATTTTGGTTTGGTTCAACAGCACACACGTGTAGTAATACTAGTATAGATATATTTATATATAGTAATTGGTACTTATCCAATCGATCGATATTCCAGTCTTAATAAAATTCACTGAAATGATCGATTTTAATCGCATAATTTTCTAGCAACCGTAATACGAGTTTAGACGGAATGGGATTTTACAGTTCCTCCATTCCCAATGCATGCAATGAATTGATCCAATCATACTAGAGAATCAGCGTTGTGAGGCTTTACGAAGTAGGATTCTTAAATCATCAGGAGTTGGTGCACGAAGGTATGTCGACAAGTAGATCCCCGCAATGGCTCTGCAAAACTTCCTGAAGACTTCCAATACAGTGCTCTGACCCATACGCACTTACTCATCAAGTTGATCAACTAGAGAGCCATAAGCTAGCATGCGCAGTGCACCAGTAAGCTTTTGCTCTGGCGATTGCCCTAAGTGACCAACGACATCACTCCTTCGTGCAAAAGAGGGATCATACCTCACAACGCCACCCATTATGAGATTGAATAGTTGTGGTTGCATCGGAAAACGCCTTCTGGAGGATAATCCACCCCAATCGGCGGTGGTACAACAAGGCGGGCGCCGCAAAGGTGTTGGTACAGCAGTCAGCCCCCGTCAACACCCCTGACTAGTCCAAGATTAGGGGCCAAAAGCAGTGGCCAGGAAAAGCTCCAAGAAGCCCACCAACGCGTGGATGGGCTTCGATGATGAAGACGACGATGATAAGGATGAAGAATGTGGTGACGACAGTGATGACAGTGACAATGGGGAGGAGTACGGTAACGATAATATGGAGCCGCCGAACGAGATGATTTCGAGGAGGATGCCAATGACCCAGATTTCGTCCTTCTCTGTGTTGGAAGGTTTTGGGAGGAAGCTCAAGGGGAGGGACCTTAGCAAAGTCAGGAACGCCATTTTGACCAGCATAGGGTTTCTTGAATCCCCCTGAAATCAATGAATATGATTATTATTTTATCGATTAGGGTGGATTTTGAGCTACTTGATGCTAAGGAGCTTGGTGAAAATACCTTTTACGATCAAGATGAAAATATAAGAAGTGAGGTAAACTATATGGGACAAGCAACGGACATCATTGAAGTTCATATAGCAAGAGTAAATTCTCGAGGCAAGGAAGTACAAGAATGAGTCCGAGACGATTTCGTGGATCAAATTTTTATAAGGGTGGAGGAAATATTACACCCTGCTCTTTCCAAGAATTGAATTGACCATTATATCCTTGGGGAAATTTTTCCAAAATCCAACGTAATATGTAAGAGGACTCAAAACGTTAACTAACGGTTCAAACAGTGTCAAATTTTGGTATAAAATGATGAAGTTATGGACGTAAATGAGTATGTGAATCAATCACCCAATCAAGTGGGTTTTTCCAATCGGGCTGGAATTATTTGTGTTTGGAGCACGAGGGCTCGTTGACGGCGGCCATAGCGGAAGGCGGCGTGGAGGTCTTCAACAATCGGACGGGTGATGACGTGGTGCCAAGGTCACGAACTTACCCGCCGAAGCGGTCGTGGTGTGGCAGACCGGAGTTGGCCTCCAAACTGTGGCCGGAACAAGGACGGCGGGAGAATCCTCAAGATGACGGTTGTTGACAAGGCGACGCTCGAGGAAGAAGAAGATGAGGAGCCGGAGGAGCCGGATGAGGAGCCAGAGGAGTGTGACGATAGTGGACTCGAACTTTGGTTTGCCGGGGACGACAATGGTGGCCGCAGTGAGGGAAGCTAAGAAAATCCCAAGACAAAAGTCCAGTATGAAATCCAACAAACAAACAAGAACTTCTTAAAATCCAACACAAATCTAAAGTGACAAAATCCCACATAATCCTTCAATCATAAAATCCAAGGTTTTACCTAAATCCTTCATTTTTTAAAATCCTACAAGCAAACGACCTCTAAGGTTCAAAGGGGTATTAAGGATATCAATAGGAATGTGTGAGAGTTTGACGTACGCTAAGGACACCATATATGGTGAATCAATCATTGAGTTGTGTAGGAAGTGGAGTTACCAAGAGGTGAAGAATGAGGTCTACGAAGGGGTAACAATACCTAGAAACCAATATATGGGTAAGTGAGTAAACAAGTCAAACATTCAGCAAGTCAAATATTCTCCATGGACATTTGTGTCAGGGAATTCGAGGAGAGGTGTCAACAGTCAAGTTAGGGAAGACGTAGTCCAAAGTCTGGGTAATTTATGAGATGAAGTAACCACGAGTCATGTCTTAAATAGGGCTGGCAAGGAATTTAATTCACTAATATTTCTTAGGGACATCCTAAGGAGAGACCCAAGACTACCCGTTGAGAGTGATGAGCTAAGAAGCCGTGACCGCATCTAAGCTGTTTAAGAAATGAGAGTAAGGAAGCTAGCGGAGTAAGTGGGTTAGGAGAAAGGAGCGAGATATCAGTCAACCAAGAACCACACGAATTGGAGGGAAGAATGTTTAGCTTCAGGTTGTACAAGGTAAAGGAAGTATCAGTCCCTGTAGCAGAAGGATTGCCTCAGGTGAGACTTTGAGTCATCAAGATGAACATATTTCGAGGTCGAAATTCTTCTTAAGAGGGGGAGGAAAATGTGACACCTCGACTTCGATTTAAGGTCCAACAACGAGTAATGAATGAGTTAGATAAATAAATTGAATCAAAATTTTGTCCCACCAAACCCTGGGTCCGAGCGAGGAAATTTAAAAAGGACAAGAAGCCACTCAAAGCTACTCCATGCTAACGAGCTTGGTGAAAATACCTTTTACGGTCAAGATGAAAATATAAGAAGTGATGTAAACTATACGGGACAAGCAACAAACATCATTGAAGTTCTTATAGCAAGAGTAAATTCTCGAGGCAAGGAAGTACAAGAATGAGTCCGAGCAAATTTCGGGGACGAAATTTTTTTATAACGGTGGAGGAAATGTTTCTCCATGCTCTTTCCAAGATTCAAAATGACCATTATACCCTTGGGGAAATTTTTCCAAAAACCACTATAATATTTAAGAGGACTCAAAACGTGAACTAACGGTTCAAACCGTGTCGAATTTTGGTATAAAACGATGAAGTTATGGACATAAATGAGTTTATGAATCAATCACCCAATCAAGTGGCCTTTTTCCAATCGGGCTGGGTTTATTTATGCTTGGTTATGCTATTGGGTTCTGGTTTGGGTCGAGTGGGTCTGGTCAAGAACAACCAACTAGTTGGACTAAGGGAAGGAGATATGTGGCGGGCTTAAGTTCAAGTAAAAAGGAGAGTTGGGAGAGTGGAAAGGGATGGGCTGGCGGCCCGTGTTAAGAGAGGGTTATGAAAGGAAGAAGGCCAGAGGCCCAAAAGGAAGAGGGGAGCTCGTGCCCTTCTAGGAAGCATGATCGAAAGTAGGAAGAAGAGGGGAAATCGGAGCGGCAGTGGAACGGAAGCCGGAAGTTCACCGGGGAATTGGAAGTAACGAAAACCTTTACTACGGGGACTTTAATTAGGGTTAATGGGTGATTAATTGGGGATTGTTGAGGGTCATTTTGCTTCTATTAAGTTACGTGGGAGAGGAGATTGCAAAGGGAGCACTCTCTGTTTTTGGAGGAGGCAAACATGGTACGTACAAAGCAAGGGAATTCGCTTGCGCGAGCGGGACAAGTTGTTTCCACTGATGGAAGCCAGGGGGAACTGGGAGAGAGACTCGACTGTTGGGAGCAAAGTGGAGCACAAGGGCTCGATGATGCCAGCCATAGCGGAAGGCGGGGTGGAGGTCTTCACCAATCGGACGGGTGATGATGCGGTGGCAAGGCCGCAAACTTACCCCCCAAAGTGGCCGGGGGTGTGGGCAGTCCGGAGCCGGCCTGCAAACTGTGGCTGGAATAGGGACGGAGGGAGACTCCTCAAGATGTCGGCTGTTGACAAGGCGACGCTCAAGGAAGAAGAAGATGAGGATCCAGAGGAGTGTGACGATAATGGACTCGAATTTGGGTTTGTCGGGGACGACAATGGTGGCCGCAGTCAGGGTAGCTAGGAGTCAAATGGCAGAGGGTATTAAATTTGATGAATAGTAAGGGGCATTTAGGTCTTTTGAAGTTTAGGACGATTTGGTAAAATTTAGAAAGCCTGGGCGCTGAAAAGTAATTTATCATGCTAGGAGTTAGTCCATAAATGGCAAATGGTTGGGTATCAAAATGGAAATATGCGAATGGGAACTTAATTGTCAAATTCATGATGTTAAATCTCCTTGGAGGACCGAATTGTCCAATTCTGAAACTTAGGGCCGAATTGATAAGACTGAGGAATTTGGGGTACTATTCTGTAATTTGCCATTTTGGGCAAAAGGTAATTTTCCAGAATTTCGTGGGGAATCTTAGGAGAGTTAAAGGGAGGAATTTAGGATTTGAATCGACCAAATTAGAGGTCGTTTAGCTGTTAACACTTAGCGGAAGGAGTATTAAGTTTTGCCTATATACTTAATAGGAGTAAATACAAAAGGAGGTAAGGCACGAGAAGTTTGAGCGTGGAATCTCGAACGATGACATGGATCCACCAACTGTGAAGAGGGGTCGTATCGATTGATTGGGGTCGGCTAATGAGGTGAGTGTAAAGGGGGTAAAATCTTCGTCGAGGTCTTTTTGTTTGTCTTTTAATTCAATTACGTTTGTTATTGACTCGTCCCAAATACCACAATTAATTCCCGCCTAAGGTCCAAGTATAAACCTTAGTCGGGTGCAGTACAGGGCAAGTATGCTTAAATATCGACTCCGGGCGGTCCGTGTACCCCTACTTTAGTCATTTGAATCATTATCTAGTGACTCGGTTTTGGTTGAAAAGTTTGCTAATTAAAGTAAAGCAAGACAAAAGTGAAAGGTTTTGAAAGCTCTTTTGTGAGAAGGATCACTCGGGTGTCGCTTCCCCCTAACTACTACCATGATATGTGAACCGAAATGATTGCTATGGGCAAGGTGACCGCGAACCGCTAGGGGACGCAAATATGGTTGTAAACCACACTCTTGATTGCTAAACCTAGGGATATATTATAGTTTGTCACTCGGCCCTCTCGGTTTAGGCAATCGATGGTTTACTTACTCCGTCACTCAACCAAATGGTTGGGAGGCTTAATCGCGCTTAACCAAATTGTTTAATCCAACATCGAGGTTTGCCCTAAATTAACCTAGATAGGTGACTTTAAAAAGCCCTAGGAATACCAACTCAATTGCGCCTCCCTTGAAAGGGGGGTTTCACTCTCTAATCTAGGTTAAAGTAGCTAATAAGATTGCTAAGCATAAAACATGCATAATCAACATGAATAATACCTCAATCATTGAATTAATCAACACCTATAAACAATCATTCAATTCACATAACAGAAACTAGATGGTAGATAGTTAGGGTTTCACAACACCCAAGTGAAAAAGAAATCTACTTCATGCTAGAAGTGGGAGAAACACAAGGGGAAGAGGTAGAAACCATCATGAAGGAGGCTTCTAATCTTCTTGGCACTTGTGCTGAACTTATCTTGGGGAGAATCTTCCCAAATCCACACTTGGAGCAAAACCCTAGCCTTCTTCTCCTTTGGTTCATCTTTCTCTCTCTAAAATCTAAAGAAGTAGACTTTCTCACTCATTGGGCACTGCCTCTCTCTTCCTTTCAACTCTTCTTTAAAACAGGGTTCGTGGTCAATTCACGGGCTCAGTTCATGACCGTGAACTCAAAAACGCGTCTGTGAACTCAAGATGGGCATCGAAACGTACTGCTTCGCTTGCACGGGTTCACAGGCAACAGCTCTTGTTCACGGTCTTAGCGACCGTGAACTCAATTAGCGTCGGTAACTTGAGATTTGGCCCTAGACTCCTTGATTTTCACAGAAAATAGCTCCTCTTCACGGTCTAGGAAGACCGTGAACTCCCACGAGAAAGCATGAACTGCCTTTTTCTCCTCTTCTCCCAGTTTTCGCTCCTTTTCGTCCAACTTT